ATTTGGCCAACTTTTTCGTAGCGCAGCCGCCAGAGTTCTATTGGAATGGCATCCATAGTTTGCATAAACGTTGGGGTGAAGTGATAGAGGCCAATGGTGATTACATTCATGATTGAGATGATTTTGCTTTTAAATAAACTGGGTTGTAATAATTGTTCATGAAATTCCGAGAACTTTCTTTCCAATCAGATAGCTATTTTCGTGTGTCCAGGGTTCTCCAGCCCGGGAATATGCTCCCTTTCTCCCTATGCCGGCCTCCCACTCGCGACGGGAATTTCTAAGAGACCGCCTCGCCATTAGGGGAAAAAAATGGACAATAACTTTCACTACCACTTGATTGCATTCGAGTAGCTGTCTCCCTGCAGAAATATTCACAAACCCTCAACTCAGCTCAAAATGGTGGAACACTATGTGAATTCGCCTTCAAGCCACCTAGGAGCCCAATGGCTTATTACTGAGCTGTAAAATTTGGTTAATATATTCCCTAACATGCGAAGCGTAATCCTTACCATTTATGAAAACTTTTCGAAATACCGTTTTCCCTCTTTTTACTAATACAAACAATTTTCAATGGAAAGTGAAAGTTAGCAGGCGAATCTTCGCGACAATCCTGACCATGCTATCATTCGATTCAGTTGGGCAAGGGATCTGGAGCTACGAGAGTTCGTGCCACCGTCGCAGCATCTTGGGTAGGTATGGCTACTGAGATATATCCTTCATGTTCCCGTATAAGGGAGAAAAGTGATGATCGAACCCTTCTCCAGGTAGGACAATTACTTGTTTTGTGGAGAAGCTTTGCCTATATTTAGGCAAAGTTTCAAAAGCGGACTTCTTTTGCTCTGAGAAGTGGTGCAAAGAAAAATATCTGAAAAGGGAAAGGATTGCCATGACCAGCAATAGGTTGACGTCTACTATCTCAACGTCTTTCGTCCATTTCCCTCTTTTCTGACAATGTAAAATGATTTACACTGAAATGACTCAGTAGCAAAAAATAGCTTCATTGAGTGTTACACCATTTTAAAATGGCTTTATTCTTCACCTGAGCAAAGGATAACATGAAAGAGATGCCCGATTGGTTGTATGCGCCCTGCTAGTTCATACAAATGATTTCCAGAAGCAAATATACTAGCAATCATGAGAATCAAATGAAGCATAACGGCGATGAGCAATCAATGAATTCCCAACACATGTCCCCATGGAATACGGAGGAAAGAGGTATACTCAAAAAGTTCAAACCAAATAACTGCAAAAAATAATTCTATAAATAACTTTAAAATTCAAAATAATTAACCACATATACCTGATATAGTGTGCGCTTTTGTAAAACATGCAAATGACATTTTGATAGGAATGACCCTTGAACTGGTTTAGCATTCACCACTGATTATTGCCTTGGAATGGGCTCTCAGGCGGGTGGCTATGGCCGCGATCAGTGCCGCACCTTTTCCACTTCCATCCTCCACCATCAGGAACTTGAACTGCAACATAGGTCACTGTTGTAGTGAGATATTGCTAACATTGACATGCAAGAGCCTTTTCTGCTTTCATTTTTATAATAATATTTCAACTTATTGAGTCTATAGCAATCGTGTCATGCTGTGAAACACCTGAATGAACGCATTTAACTAGTGGTGAGAAACTGAAATGTGGCTTGAATACAGCTGACTAAAAAGACCAATGATGTGATTAGATGCTATTAGGTTTTGGGCTGAGAAATTCTCTGCTATTTTGATGATGCGTGCTTCAAGTTGGAACCACTACACCAGCACCAGCTCACTAAACAGCATGTTATGGTTTTGCATACAGACTTCTTTTGATCAGAATAAATGCAAAGAACACTTATCCAACTGCAATTTTACATGAAAGAGTGAACAGTCGAGAATTGAATGAATCAGATGAACTATGAGAAAAGTCTCTCCTATAAATGGTACATAAATGGAAGATATATGAACTGGATTGCATATTAGCATCAAATAGGGGAGTGGATTCCTTTACTTCCAAGGATGATCCTAATCAAATGGCTCCTCATTCCCTCAAGGATCTCCTGGGGATGGATTTTAATCACTTTCAGATATGGTGTCCATTCCAATGGACATTGCTTTTATAATGTGTCTATGGCAATTTCTTAGGATTCTTGTGGCTATGAGCTCTAAATTATGCTACAATGGGCACAATTATGCATGGCTCAGTTCCATCAGAGGCCTTCTTTCCCTTATTAGTTTTATCATTTTCAGCTATTTAATTAAATGTATAATATATAATATATGGTATGATATGGTAAATTCATACAAAATATGAAAACTGCATATAGAGCATGACAATTTCAATCACAATCACAAAAGTGCTCAAAAATGCAAAAAAGAATATTATTTGATAACGGCCTTAATTCAGGTCTGAAAGGGTTAAGATGGTTTGCTACTAACTTTCTCTTTATCTGTCCTTGCATAATGGCACTGAAACAATCAAATGAAACTGAATTTACCCAATTTAACATTTGGACAATTATGAAAGTACGTATCCGATGTGTCAGCGTGGCTGGAGTGCCAGTAAATTTACAAGCACAATTTCAATTTTCAAGGACAAAATGACAATAAATGTACCTACAACATGTGTTCAATTTAAGTGGCAGAAACTCTTGCAAGAATGAACAAAATCATAGGATTCATAGTAAATTTATTGCATTAAAACAAGCTGTGCATTCAGTTGTCTACGGAAAAACACTTACGAAAAGATTAAAAGGGATTCACATTTGACTCATTTGTGGTAAAGCTAAGCTAAAACATGAGAACCACCTAGGCATCACATGGTGGTCTGCAAATTTTGGCTCCTCTCAACTAATTGCCTAATATTCAGGAGCAGAATTCCCTTAAAGTCAGCAAAGATTATGGAAAAATGATTCATGAAAAGGAATGAGAGTTTTACTGCCTGGAATTTTAATAAAAGAGAATAAATGAGGACGGTAGACATACTTGTTTGCCGGGAGCCCATGCAGAGATCTTCGCTTCCATGAGGGTCCTGAGACGGGGATGCTCTTCGAAAAGGGATCCATCCACAGCGATCGTGCAGTGGGGCTTGTCCATCCGGCACAGCAGATGGGCCAAACCTTGCAAGAGAAAAATTACTCCGTGCAAACTGAGAGGATGGAAGAAAGAATGGAATGAGTTGATGACAGGGTGAGACAATGAATAGTGAAAATGAGGATTCCATGGGGACTCAATCCATTCTTTCCATTACAATTTCCATTCCTGCATGTGGAATTTTGTGAAAGCACCAAAGAAGCAAAAGCTCTTACATATGGATACAAGGTTGGCAGCTCGTTCTGAGATGACTGCACAGACATATTTGATTATCTTGAGGTCGTCTTGTGTGTAGCTGAGACCAAATTCACCCAGGATTTTCTCAGTCTCCTCGGTGCTCAATTCCATCGAGTCCCTGCAGGTTAGAAATGAAATTAATATGAATCTCCTTCAAGCCCTCTAAACTGTTGCACATGTTAGATAAGAGTCATTTGGAGCTGAACTTTTCAATGTGTGAGACGTATTGGCTGGTGAACGAGCCCACTGTCCTGAGTTTCTCTGTGCATTTCCCTTTGAATAAAAGTTCTTCATCCACCAATTTGACTAGAATCAGCCTGGCAATCTCACCAAGGTACTTCCCTGCAAAGTACTTCTCGTAACTTGAGAGAAAAAAATTTTGAATTCATTCCCCATCACCAAAATTTGCTTTGCTGTTTGAAAGTTGATTTGTCACTCAGACTCACGTGAAAGAACCAACGAGAAGGGAATTTCTGTTAATTTCTCGATCAAAGTCTGTTTTCATGAAGTCCAGCACACCGTTGTCTCCAAAAGCTCCAAATTCAATGTCAATCACCACCTATTTAAAAATGCAATAAGTGAATAGAGGGTATCCATGAGAATTCCACAGTCAATTATGAATGAATATGGTACCTCTTCTGCATCATGTTGGCCTTCCCACTTTTCAATTCGGCTTACTCGTTCCAGGTAGCAGGCATTGCTACCAGTGCCCAGGATGAGACCAATTGCAGTTTCATGGTCCACATATGCACCCTTCACAATTGTACCTATGTAAGAAGGAGAAGTCTATTTAAAATATGAAATTAGTTTCTTTTGCAGAAGGGAATAGAGGCCATATATAGTATTAGACCAACAACTGATAGGCACCTGATACAAATCCTCTCAGGTCTATACTATTCAGCACCTTTCGGCATATGTGCATGGTATCAGGACTAACACAGTCTTAAGAGACCAGGGGAGTGGAAGGTTTCACCCTGCAAGTAAGCATTTCCTATTCTGGTTCTGACAATAAACACTGTAATAGTTTCATAAAGTACAGGGTGGTCCACAATTGCCTCCCCTAAAGTAAAAGCTTATTACTCAGGAAGTATACATTCAATTTCATCGACAAATGACTCAAGTGATAGCCAATTCAATATATTTTTATTGTGAAAATTTTCAGCATTCCATAAGGAACTAGGAGAAAGTTATATCCTTACAAATGAAAGCTGCCAAATCATTAGTGTTCAACATGACTTTCACAATTTTCAATGACCTGGTGCAGTCTCTCTTTGAATGTCAGCAGAAATATTTCAATTATCCCTGGTCCTACTATGGCGAAGGCATCTCCAATGACCTGTTTCAGCAAATCTACATCATCATAGGTTTGCCGATGAATCTCTTCAGGTTCAGAAACCTCTTATGAATTGCCTTCATGATTTCATCAGGCATTTGGACTCAAACTGAAGAAATTTCCAAATTTTCCCTGCACAAATTTTCTCTCTTTAATTCATCATAACAAATGTCAATATTCGTCTTCTGCAGGATACTCAGAGATACATAACACAGACAATCCCTTGTGTTGCACGAAAAACCCACAAATGAATTTTGAATTTCAGAAGGGATTGTGATAGTTACAGGCTTTAGTTGCACGATATGGGTACTTTGGAAGAAATCATGACAGTGTACCTTGATATACACTTCCAATTTCAAAGCATGAGTATGTATTAATACATAGATACCTGTATTTCATGCACAACTAAGAAGGAAAATACATATTATGTATACTTTTGTTAAGCTAACAACATAAATTTTAAAATTCAGTTGAAATGCTTATCTGAGAAGTTGTTTGAAACATAATGAGAATTTTAAATCTAGCTGCCATGTACCCATATTTGGAGCAAATGCTTTCTTACTCTCTTCTAGGATTTGGAGAGCTGACCTAACCTTGCCCTAGTGTTTCAACTGTAGGTATTGGAATGAGGGAGGCAATCCAGTTGACAAAAATAGATATGTTTGAATACTGCCAGATTGGGTGCAAGTCACTTCGAGTCAACTGGATTTATTATACTGTATTTTATTAGACATGGGAAACTTGCAGAAATTATACATATTTTTAGTTGGAGGATCACTTCAGGTCTATTTGGGTGAACTTGGAAAGATAATTTCATGGCAGGTTCTTCAGTCAATATGGGGTCACCATAGATTGTAATGGGCTAGAGCATCAAATTGGAGCACTATGTGCCACTCACAGAAAAGTAGGGTACTTCGAATCAATTTAAATAATCTTCCACTGTTCTAAGATGTTTAAACATTAGTTTGGACACAGGAATTTTTGCATTTCAATATCACTGTGGATCATGTGGTTTGGAAGCTTAGGGAACTTTGGCATTAGAGCATCAACTCAGATTGCCTTGTGAATGCCAGACAATCTAGTCTGGAGAAAATCTTTTCATCACTTCTCTATTACTTCCAGACCTTTTCAATGCAGTGTATAAATCAGACATCATCTTTGTCTCCTTATGTCTTGTGCATGAAATCATTCACTTTTATTTTACAAAATGAGTTGACTCATCCTTCATCAAAAATCTTCATCAATAAAGCAACTTTATAATGCTCTCAGTTCCCTTTGATCATAGGAACCACTTTGTTCTATGTTAAATTTGACCCTTTTTTGATACTCATATACCAAATATCTAAATTACGTCCTTCAAACATGATTGAAAACAGGAGAGGTAATGAGTATGTGCATGTGTGCATCCATTGGGCTTCAACAGTATTTTTCCAATACAATTGGGAGATTAATTTTCTTAATTTTCCAAATATACTTTATGAAAGTAGACCAAAACAATCCTCACTCAACTATACAATGACATGCATCTGTGAAAATCCATCACTTCCATTGGATGAAAGATAATTGAGCATATTCACTGCATGGTCCTACATCACTAGGCAAATGTCAACAGAGAACTACTTTTAAGATATTTAGAAAAAAAAGGTGGCAACCTAATCAAAATATACAAAATTAAAACAATTTATTCTTAGACCAGCATGCCCACAATTTTTAGGGGCATCTGCCATAGCTTATCTGAAAACCTGCTGGTTAAGGAGTTAACCTCACAGCACAGCACTTACAAAATACATAAGAAACATCTTCACAATATCCATGCTGCTCATGTGAATGTCATTCCCCATGAATGCCTCCTTTTCCACTACACTGAGCAAGTGCTATAGAATGGGTTCAATACGAGCATATGGGTTCGATTCAATACGAGTAGTTACCTGTGGTGTCATTGAGGACGGCGACGACGTCAATGGCATGTCCGCATCTTCGGTGGATGGCATCGTTGAGCATCTTCACTGCATCCTTCCCAACGACTCCAGGACAGTTGAACGACTTGGTCCAGTGCACCAAAATCCCCACATTCAATGCCTTCTGGTGCATTGGGAACGAGAAGCAAAACCCTGCAAAGGATGTGAAAAAACCCCTTGAGCATGCAGTAGGAATGCTTAACAAGGAACCTAAGTTCACATCAATTTTCAGAACACCAACATGTAGAATGGCTAAAAGAAATAAAAAGACTGGAAGCTGAGAAATAGAAATTCTGAAAACAATAGAAATGTATTAAGAGGAGGCCACAGCAATACAAACACATGAGGAATGTCCGAGAGAGCATGATACAAACGTGTACATGATGCAGAGGAATCTTGTATTGCAATTCAAGGAGACTGACAAAATTTATAAGATAAAAAAAGGCAACTCATTTTCATGATGCTCCAGTGAAGTGACTGAAAATGGACAGCGGAGGGAAAATTCAGATGAAGTGGGCAAAGTCTCAGTGATTTAGGTCATACTTGGCCACTTTCACACACAAGTGACTCTCTATGGATAAACAAATAGGTCTTATGATCTTCCATTGCTAAAAAAAAAGCAAAAAGACTTATAGAAGATGCAATAAATGAAGAAAATGAATGAATAGAGTTAGTTCCTCCATTCATGTTGGGCACAAATTGAGCAGGAGATGGGGGGTGGGGGGGGAGGGGGGATTGGTAAAAGAGAGAAGGCCTCTGGAATTCATGATTTTGTAATGACCTGGGTCTCTTATCACAGGGCAAAATCTTATCCCTTCATCAGCCAGGATGAAATATTGTAACTTGGTTGCAGCGTGTGGGCAATTGCTTTCATACATTATATTCAAGGAATTTTATGTACAACTTGGGGTTTGAAAGCATGTTGCCACTCTACTGGCTAGGGCAATGAAGTTTATTCTTATTTCGTTCAACTTCTAACTCCATGCCAATTCGGACATAATCACAAAATACTTCTCGGGCAGTACTGATACTGAAAAATTAATTAATTTCTCATAGTAAATATAGAATAAATCACCTCCAGAGTCACCATTTCTGGGAAATAGCCAATAAACACTTTCTTGCTATTCATAATAAAAAGAAAGATTATGATTGATTTTTAGAGCCTGCAACTTCATCCACACAACAGGACAGAATGCTGCATACCACATAGACTGATGGTCATAAATAACCCACACCAATGCAGGTGAAACTGAAATGGGTAACATGGACCAGGGGCAAGAGAGCCATTTATCTATGTCAAATGGACCAAACCCCAGGAGCTGGCATAGAGAGAGGCTCAGTCAACCTTAATGGTTTCTACCCCAAAAACATTAACTTCAGTTGCCTGATGATAACAGAGTTAAAACAGAACCTTTGCTACCCCTGAGATAAAATGTGCTGTACTATGGCCTCTTCTTAAAAAATTCATTTGAAAAAGGAAAACAAAAACAATGGATGCTAAAGACCTAGGGTGAGTTTTTCGCCAGTGTAATGCTTCTTCTCGAGGAAGTCCTTGATGCAATCGGCAAGGAAATCGAAGAGCTGCTCTCCGGGTCCCAGCCGCACCTCCTCCGGCACTTTATAGTACTTCACTTCCTCTCTCTGGATAGTTCCCTCCTTAAGTTCCATTAAAATGACACGGAAGTTTGTCCCTCCGAGGTCCAGGGCAAGATATTCTCCACTTTCTAGCAAAAGGAACATGACAGGTTACACAATTATTCTCATAATATCCAGAAACAGCAGGAAGAGGGTTGTGAAAGTATGAATTTTAGTTCTCATTGATAAATTATCAAACAAAATATCAAATATAGGCTAGCCCCAAAGTACCCAGCAGCATAGGATTGTGGAACAAATTAGCGATTACTCTTTTGCACGCAATGGCAAGTCAGATGTTTCTGTTGCCTCAATATGCTTGATCTCACTTGCAATCAGGAAAAGTAAATTCAAAGAACCAAAATATATATTTTCTTATACACCAAAGGAATATCCTTATTTTTAAGCCATAAATTTCAGGGACTAATTTTTTTCTTCATCAAAAGCATGACTTACTGATTTTCAGATTATGCAGGGTATCCAGAAATGGATCCTTTATTTTGTTCAAAATTTGTTCAAATCATTGGTAGCAAAGTATTCATGCAAGGGCTTTGAAAATTGTCTTATTAGACACAGCCCAAGAGTTATAATATAAACCACGATCAACTTTACTACAATAGTGGAAAGCATACTCAAGTAACAGGGGGTTGAATAGGAAAGACAAGAATGCAAGAGAAACCATGCATGTGAATATGGAAAGGGGGAAAATGTACGATGTGGAAGGATGAAAATAAAAAATAATCATTAAAAAATTGTAATCTAGGAGATGACAAGTGGAAGTCTCCTCTTCCTCATCATCTGGGTGCACCATGGAGGGCTGTAAATCTGGTGACTTACAAGGTCACATTAAGGGAAGGAGAAGAATTCCATTTGCGACATGCATGCTCGTTCCAAAGTTCTAGAGGAGAAGCAGTGAAGTTCCTAACAGTCAAAGACCCAAATTCCAGCAACATCTCAACACTATATATTTTTCATGAGATTCCTCCATCTTTCTGACCTACCAGTGCCATTGGGAAGTTCTGGGAGGAAGGTGTTCTCCATCTGGAGTGAAGAAAGCTTAGGAGGATTTTTGGCCAGACCCAGCTTCATTTCGTCTTCAAAGACGTCTCGAACACGATCAATGACATCTTGGGTGAGTATCAGCGGCTTCAGGATCTCTTCGACCTTTTCGTGACAAATAAAAGTGAACATAACACAAGTACGACATCGGAATGGAGCATGAAGTGGCTGCTTTGCAAATATTGCTGAAATTCATAACTGACATTAAATTGAAAATAGGAAAGGGAACAAGTTCCAAATCAGTGCATATGGTGAAATATGAACTGACTTGAAATGTCAAAAATGAAGTTTACTGCATCATTAACCTGCCAGCCAATTCCAAGTCTTAGCATTTCCATACCAATAGTAATTCCAAGTTTTACAAATAAACAAACATTTTGAAATCCCACTGTTCACTGAACTTTAACAAGTGTGGGGTACTAACTGAACTTTGGCAGCTTTTAACTAGGGAAAATCACTGAGAAAACAATTAATAATTAATGCCCTTAATCAGTTGAGGCACTTACCATTCACCATTTAGCAAAAATAACTTGGGCAAATCAACTGAGAGGCTAACCGTATATTCACTGATATTAAAACAAAAAACCAAAGGCTCACTTACTTGTGCTTGCTGAACAGGATCAGATATTGCAAAGGGGCAGGAGCCCATTGGGAGTCGTTGTTGATTTGTGTCCTCGAGTGGAGAGGTGCTTTTGGCTGTGCTCTCAGTGGGGTTCATTGTACTTCCTGCAGCGTTTCCAGAGCTTGAAATTTCTGCCATGTTCCACATCCATAATACTGTAGAATTTTGTCCATGGATGAAGAAAGAAAAACGTAGACATTCACTTACCGATTTTGAGTGCCTCAGTATTACTTTTGGTAAAATGGCTTCCAAGACAATTGCATTTCGCACTGCAATGGCAGCACTAGCCTAGGCTTGGCTGGACATCAATATTATATCTGGCTTTATTGAAAGAAAAATAAAAGCTTCATTATATAAAGTTCTTCCACATACATCTTTAAGATAGGCTTGGACTCGACACACACCTAATGAGACTTTCTAATGAGTTTTGCTCATTTTATCACAAAATGATGCTGTATGCCATGAACCATATGCAATTACATTCTTATGTACTTAGGAAATGAATTCACATTCTTTTCATAACATGTGCCATGCTTATAGAAACAAATGACCAGCCTGATAGGATCAGACCTTGCTCTTTCTCAAGCTTCTCAGAACATAAACATGGATACAAGGTGTATCATGATGTCATGGCCACCTCAAAACATACAAACCAAGACATAGCGCTGCAATCTCCAACTCATGTAGGTGAGTTTGCCAGTTTCCTGGGTTGCTAAAGGGGAAATCTTAGCCAGCCAGAGAACTGGAAGTGGGAGGGGAAGGGAAGATTGAGGGGTATTCAACACTGCATGCAGAGACAATTTTTTTCTTACAACGAGGTTGATAATGGTAAGGTGTGAATTTTAACTACATAGGAAAATAGGGAAGCAGTACCAATTACAAGGAGATAAGTAGACATAAGACAAATAGCCAGAAGAAGCTGAGAAGCAGAGTCTGCTGATGGCCCAACATGACTTTGGGGGCACAGATCAGATTTTATCTACTTAATCATACTTGCACAGTGGGCAGTGAAAGTTAACCTGCTATCGAGAGTGAAGTCAAGGAACTTGAAAGACATTACAGGTTCAATAAGGGTGAAGAACCAAAAACCTTATTGGTGCGCACAATCTGATGTTTTTGATTACGTTGACTCTTTTAAAAAAAAAAAAAAATTAATATGTTGCCATGGGAGAGTAAAAATATAGTTGTTCCTACCTTGCACAGGAAATGGAAAAATTATTGTTTAATGCATTTGGAAAAATCAGTGAATACTGCACTAATGCACTAAAGTGAATACTGCATGGCACTATCCATCATTTTCATACAGCAGATGTGCAGTAATCTTGAATATTCCAGTATAGCAAGAGTGTGATTGCTGGATGCAAGACTGGTTGGGACTGATGATGCTATGATACACCAGATGAGTATAAAAGTGAAGGAAGACCCAATGCTCAATAACTTTACTAAATACAGGGATAAAAACTACAGGAATTTGGTGTTTGGAAGAGAATTTGGAAAAGCTACAGATATAGTGCCACCTTGGCTATTCTGAATTCCTCAGGAAAATTTCCCATCAATATGATTTTGCTGAGGGCTTATCAAAGGCACCAAGGGCTCACATTTGACGGCCAATTTGACGAATGGGCCGAGAATGCCATCCGAACCATATTAGCATTTGGTGTGAAGAGGTGTGGGTTCTCATATGTCAATCACTGAACCTCCTTGGTCGATTGCAAGGCCTGCATTCATACGCCCTCAAGCACCATCAATTTGCCTGATTTGTGGGCCTCCAAAATGGAATGCAATTCGACCTAAGAATCCTTACCAGGGTTGCATGCAATGAAGAAACTAAGCAGCACAAAAACCAACTTTCGAGAGCTTCTCTTTTCCTCCCCCTCTCCAACGCTCCTGTTTGACAGGACACACTAATCTACCGGACGTAACATTCAGCCCATGCGTAATCCACAAGCAGTCTCGCCCCGACAGCTGGGTCTAGGCCTACAATCATCACGTTAATGAATCTCCACATTCAAAATAGCAGGTCAATTACGCCAATATCTATCCATGTCGGGGTTTTCTACAGCTGATTAATTTTCAGGCTTCGTCAGGCAGATCAGAGGCCTATCACTGCTTTCACGAGTCCCATCCAAGAGAGATTCTGACGTATGACTCGTTAAGGGCCTAGATTCGGTTTCACACGAACCACATCCACGCTGACGCGCAACGTCAGGCCCATCTGTCGTGCCTCCCATCGACACCACGTGGGCAACGCAACGCCTGCCTCCTCATCCATGTGGGACGCCATACCGGGTTGCCATCACATGAGCTCGATGGTTCTCATTGTATACCAAGGGTGCATGCTATGGGTGCATGGAATACCAAGGGTGTCATTCAGTGATGCCGCTCTCCCATATCATCCACCAACCAGGGCACAATACCGCTTCCATTCCTATTCCACCAGTGAGCTGAGCACTAAAATACATGACGCATCGAAATTCAAAAAGTTGAGTCGCAAATACGATAGTTCTTCGAGTTTCGAATCTGGAAACGAGGAAGCTCAATGAGATTCGAATCTAAAAAGCCACGTTTCAAGTTGAACATAATATTACTTCATGATAGTCCTAAGATGCCCTTTCACTTTTGAGGCATCATCGAGAAGCGCAACGAATTTTTTTCCCCCTGTATAATTTTTTTTATTGTCTTATTTTTTTAGGGAGATCTGAGCAAAAGCTATTGAACCCTACATGCCATCGCGTATCGCATCCTATCGACCGAATGCATCGATCTTCCCGCATCTTCATCGACGCTTCAGTCCCGCCACATCCCAAGGAGAGAACGCAATTCGCACGCGGACCCCAGAGCCCCTGCAGACGACAGAGCCTGGCCAATCACAAGTCCCAATTTTCAACGAATCCGATTGGCTGCCGCGTCCTGGCGCCATTTTCATTCCAGGAGCATCGGCTACATGGGAAGGGTGAATCCCTTGGGCTTTTTCGGCTGTACTTTCCCTCTTTCTGCGGCTGTTGGATGCTCCGACATAAGTGAGACTAGATATCGAGTGTTTCGCTTCTACTCGAAAAGGAATCGTCGGGCCCTTCGGACTGCAAAAGCGGAAAGTCTGAACTGGACACCGACAGCGAAATCGTATCTCTGTGACGTCAGTTGCCTGGTCTTCACCAATAGATGTCATTTATAGCAGCCAATGATATTTGTTCGTGACAGATTAACACCCCAGTTAATAATAACTACTAAATATAATAGGCAGATGAAATTCGTTATGTGATGAAACTCCCCCTCGCTTGAGAGTATGAATAGCTTATATTATATAGGCCTATGACTAACCTCTCTGCTGCTTTATTTTTTTTTGAAGATTAAGATTCACTCGGGCTTTCATTTAAATTCTCTCCCTATATTTCACGCATTTTCCCTCTTTTCTCGCCCATACTCAGATCCCAGGGAAAAAAAATTGTACTTTTCATTCATCGCCCCTTCCACACCAATTGGGCCGAGATACGGATGAATTCAAGTAACTGTAACCAAAGTAGCCAAACACGCATCGATGTGATGGATGGGAGGCGATGGGGTGAGCCTGTAGGCTTTGGATGCACTACTGGTAGGCCTTCAATCAGCACTGTGGAGCTTTTTTTTTTTCTATAAACGACTAATTTGTTGACGTCGGCGTCCCTTAGATTTCTTTCCGCCCGTGGATTAATTGCAAGTATGGAAATCGACTAGATGATCAGATGGAATACTGGGATTAGCTTTAGCTATCCGTTAGTTCGTTTGGATTTTTGCGAATTATGAACGTCTGAAATGTCTGCAGAGGTGCAGAAAAGGCATCTGAGAGTCGTGGATTATAGTGATGGATTATGGTGATGGATTACGGTGGATTATCGGTGATATTTCCAGCAGTGTATCTCATCATTTGGTAATGTGGAAAGGTCTCCCACTCTGTAGCCTTCGGGAAACGAATGTGTCTGAGTTCGATCGTACCTTTATTCCTTTTGCCGCACCTAGATACTGTATAACCCTACTCCATGCAATAGATCCTTCAGGGATCAGTTGCGCCAATGGATTCTCAAAAACCTATTCATTCAAATGTGAAGAAACACATATCACTTCAACCCCTTCCCCCTCTAAAAGGGAAGGGAAGGCCTCATAGTTATGAGAAATGGACCGATATGCGTAGAAGCCCTCTTCAATCCCCAGGGCCTCCTCTGTGAGAGAATGCCACATTTCGGTCTTTTTTCAATCGCCTTCTTCAGCCTCATTTACCTCGTCACTTGCTGAAATTTGACGAACTTCGCAGGATTCGTCCTCCAGACTAAAATGACCACGCCCGAACTTTTGAAGCCAGTCATCCATAAAGCATATAGGTGGGGCTAGACCCCCCAGTTATAATTTCATCTCTGGGCCTGTCCGCTCCAAGTGGTCCTAGGAATTTAGTCGGAGATTTTCCTAAATATGCAAATATTACATTCGCTTCAAAGTATCATCTCTTTGCTCAGCAAACATGAAAGGAAGAGAAAATTACATCGAAAAAGGAAAGAAGTAATCATGAGTAGGATATATTATTCATACCACTCTCATGAAGCTCAAGTATGTGATGAAAATGGAAATCTGGAGAGATTGAATTGGACTACTGGAACAAATACCAGCATGGATTTTCTCGTGCATACTGATAATTTCACATCAGTTCAGTTGTGAAGAGATGTCAGTTCTTCATTTCTGAATGACATCTTTAAAATAAAATTAAAAGATATGTACAGACTTCCCGTTTCAAAATGTATTTTCAGAACTTGTCACATCCGTCACATCCGTCACGGCTTACATTCTGTTTCAAGTGTTGCCGTCTTGGGGTGACTTACACTAATTCAAGGCTTTCATTCAATCGATAGAATGAACATGAAACTAACGTATTATTCTCTGCTCGATAACAGATACATGAACATTAGAGCAAGTGACATTAACATGAGGGTTCATGAAATGTATCGTCTAATACTTTTCTTTGCGCATAGGTATACCTATAACAAAGGAGAGAGTGCAAGACTTTAGATTATGGAATTTTCAGTCACTACCCAAGCCAAATTGTTGCAGCCTTTATATGAAGCTCCATAATATAGTTTAATACATTTTGCATACCGAACATATTGCTCCGGATGTCACGTCCGACGCCGAGGACAGACCCCTCTGTAAAACACTGTTTCGCAGTTAGACGCATTTGAAACCATTCCCAATCAGCACTTACTGCTTTCCCTTGACCAGAGCAGATGACCTTGACCGTAGGGTTTGGTGCCCCCTTTTGGCCTTATGCTACGAACATTTTGTTTCGGTCACAACATTTTGGTTTAAAAAAATTTT